TTCTTCTTTTTTTTTCTTCTTTTTTCTTCTTCTTTCCCTCCTCTCCCCTCCTCTCCTTCCTCCTCCTCCTCCTCCTCCTCCTCCTCTTCCTCCTCCTCCTCCACCCTCTCTCTCTCTTTTAAAAACAGTTGCGCAACCGACGTTCATACGCGACCATGGAACACCTGAACTTGAATTACACGTTCGGAAGAAACGTTTTTATGCCGCTACGCGAAACGAGTGGTAGTCAACACGAGTCTCTTTCTCGCTCTCTCTCGCTCTCTCTCTCTCTCTCTCTCTCTGTCGAGAAACTTCGAAACTTTTTCTGAAGATCGTCAAGATATCGGGCGAAGGACAACAATGGGCAATAAAAAAAAAAAACGGCAAGGACAACGACGAAGTTGTCGGTGAAATTGTGTTCTACGTTCCTCGCTGCGACGAATAACGCGCACGAAACATCAAGTGTAAAAAAATTCCTTTCGCGTCTAAACTTCTCTTCTCGATCAAGTTGAAATCGCTTGGAAGTTTTTTCTTCTTCTTCTTCTTCTTCTTTTTCTTTCTCGAATCTTTATGCCTTCGAAGCAAGAATAAATTTCTCTGCTAATCGGGACTACATATTATATCGGCTGGTAAGAAAATAGGGAAGAGAGGGGGGGGGGGGGAGAAATGTATATCGACGTACTTTCAAATATCTCCACTTTTGGATTACATAATTAGACGTAGCTCGAAAAATGTTACGTAAGTTTCGTAATTTTGCAACTTTCTCTCTCTCCACACATATATATATTTATATATATATATATAAATATGAAATAAGAAAAATTTTTCATTCAAGGCTCGCACGATTCGATCGTGTTTCCTGGATCCATATACTGTCTGTCTCTCCGAAATTGAAACGTGGAATTGTCGGTTCTCGATTCGCGCGCCCAATCGCGAAGGAATGCCGGTTCACTGCTCCGATAATTTCCCTCGTTATCGTTCGCAGTTCGAACGGAGAATCTATACCCCGAGCCCGGAAAAATACACAATCGAGAAATCTCCCCTTGAACTTGTTCAATTTTCATTTTCGATCAACGCTTTCGTTACATATATATACATATACACACGAAAAAGACGTTTAAAGACGCGCTCTCTCTCTCTTCCCCCTTTTTTTTTTTTCATTTACGACGAATATAACACGACGAACGAAATTTCCAGAGCGAAAATTTAACAAGCGAGATAAGTTCGAGTGAAATCGCGCGATGTACACGTGCATGATTTGGCGCGTGATAAAGTTACTAAAACGTAAATTACATTTATTATTACAGGGACGGGGAGGAGGAATGGTGAAGATGAAAAGCGGATTATTATGGTTAGTATATCGATGTTGGGCTCACCTTTGTCGTTCTAATCGTCCGTAACCTTAATCCAATAAAGACGGTATCCAAAGAAAGGCGGTCGGCGGTCGGGTGTTTCCCTTAAGACTCTCTCGAGGAGTCACGAAGCATCTCCACGAGCCGACGACCCGAAATCCCGTGATAGCGGCGACGAGGACGACGGTACAGGCACGTGACATACATTGATGTACCGGAACGTGTATCACCACCGGCACCACAGATCGCACCACGTCTTGGATGAGCGCGGTCGAGCATGAACCGATCCGATCCGGTCGACGAGAAAAATGGTATTATCGGCACTTAGGTGTATAATTAATAATATCACACAATTTTTCCTCCTCTTCCCGCGCACTTTTTCTTCTCGAAGCACTCGCGTACGTCCTCTCCACGTCTCG